AATACCAGAAGGATGTTTACTTGTGTTTTATTGACTATGCAAAAGCATTTGATTGTGTGGATCATAACAAATTGTGGATAACATTGAAAAGAATGTGAATTCTAGAACACTTAATTGTACTCATGAGGAACCTGTACATAGACCAGGAGGCTGTTTGAACAGAACAAGGGGATACTGCATGGTTTAAAATCAGGAAGAGAGTGCATCAAGGTTACATCCTTTCACTTTACTTATTATATCTGTATGATGAGCAAATAATCTGAGAAGCTGGACTACCTGAAGAAGAACATGGCATCAGAATTGAAGGAAGCTTCATTAACAACCTACGATAAGCAGACAACACAACCTTGCTTGCTGAAAGTGAGGATGACTTGAAGCACTTATTGATTAAGATTGAAGAATACAGTCTGAAGTATGAATTACATCTCAATATAAAGAAAACAAAAATCCTCACAATGGGACCAATAAGCAGCATCATGACAAATGGAGAAAAGATTGAAGTTGTCAAAGACTTCATATTATTTGGTTCTGCAATCAGTGTCAATGGAAGCAGCAGTCAAGACATCAAAAGACATATTGCATTGGACAAATCTGTTGCAAAAGACCTCTTTCAAGTGCTGAAGAGCAAAGATGTCTCCTTGAGGACTAAGGTGCACCTAACCCAAGCTGTGGTATTTTCAATCACCTCGTATGCATATGAGAGCTGGACAGTGAATAAGGAAGATCGAAGAAGAACTGATACTTTTGAGTTGTGATGTTGGCAAAGACTACCAAAAGTACCATGGACTGCTAAAAGAACTAACAAATCTGTCCTGGAAGAAGTGCAGCCAGAATGCTCCTTGGAAGCGAGAATGGCCAGATTTCATCTTACCTACTTTGGTCATGTTGTCAGAAGGGCTATTTTCTGGAGGATATCATACTTAGTAAAGTGGAGGGTCAACAAAAAAAGGGCAGTCCCTCAACAAGATGGATTGACACAGTAGCTGAAACGACGGCCTCAGATATGGCTAGGATCCTGAGGCTGGCACAAGACCGGGCAGTGTTTTGTTTTGTCATACATAAGGTTGCTTTGAGTCGGAGATGGACTTGACGGTACCTAACAACAGCAACAACACAACAATAAGTTTTTGATTCATATTTTTCCAACTATTATGAACTTGTATGTATTTGAGTAAGAATTTCATCATGTCCTTTTCTGTAAGATTCTCTCTTGATAGTTCTGCTTCAAGGCAGGATAATTGTGGGATAATTCTTATGGATTTGCATACATTAAATGGTGTGAGTGGAGAAATTTATCATAATTTATGAATTTTTTTATATTGTGGTAAATGTATACATAACAAAACATCTGCCATTTCAACATCCTACCCATGTATAATTCAGTGACAATTATGTTTACCATATTGTTCAACCATCACCATTATCCATTTCTATGTACTTCTTAATCTTTTGTCAGTGTGTGAAGTTCAGAAGCTAAGAATTAGTTCAGAAACTAAAACCAAGAATTGCTAAATGTTGAAAAAAAATGCAGTTGTTTTATTCACCCAGGAGACTCCAGGCCTTTTTATAGATTCTGATGGTCCTATAATCCAATTCTACCCTGCATGTTACCATGGAAACATACCTTCTGGGCTTGCTTGAACATCTGAAATGTGGGTAATGTTTTGATGTGACATGTTTGGGCCAACTCCTGGGAAAGAAAAGAAATGGCACGAAGTCACCATTTTGCATGCCCTCTTTCTGTACCAAGCATGTTGCTTGGTGACTTCTCTGGTGGGATGTTTTTGAAAGTCCAGGGAGACCTAATACTTTATGAATCTTGCTGCCAAGAGCTATTTTTTTTAAACATACCCTCAAAGTCTCTAGTATTTTACAATGGAAGATGACTGTTCCCAATATTTCTGGGTTCTTCCATTCCAGGGCTCAATGAGACAGGTGAGAGACTGAAGATGACACAGAGAAGGAACACTGAAAGGCTCAATTAACTCTTTTTAAAAGACCTGGGAAAGCTTGCAGAGACACCACAGTATGGAGAGAGCATGGTACAAAAAATAGGACAGAGTAAAGGTATCTTTATTATAACTCTCACTTGATCCATGGAGTGATATACTAGTCTAGCATTTTTCAGTAAAGCTTACATGTTTCTTTCATTTAAACCCTACTTCTTTGCCCACCTTCATTTGTGAAAGATTTGGTGTCAATAGGCAATAAAATCATCCTAAATTCCACTTGTTTTAATCCATTCTCATCTGCTTCCAAATGTTAGTTTTTGTTTCTCTTAGAAGAATTTAGGAATCAAAGGAAAATTAGTTACTCATGGGATCAATAGAATTGGACTTCTTTCTCTAATACCAAAAACCAAGACCAAACTCACTGCATTCAAGTCAATTTGACTCATAGCGACCCCTCCTTCGGTTTCCAAGGTGATATCTCTAGGGAAGTAAATTGCCCAATCTTCCGAAGAGTGGCTGGTGGGATTGAATCACTAGCTTTCTGGTTAGCAGTCAAATGCCTTAAACACTATGCCACCAGAGCTCCCTCTTTCTCTAATACACCACCAGTATCTCCCTAGCACGCCCCCACCCCCCCCATAATTTTCATTACCACAGCAAAGACAACTAAAATAAATATCAGGAAAGAAATTTGTGCATTTTATTTCACCTTAAAAGACAAAGAGCTATAATTAAAAAGACAGATAATAACAATTGTTGATGAGGATGTAGAGAAATTGGAACATTTAAATACTGCTGGTGGGAATGTAAAATGGTGCAGCCACTTTGGGACAGTCTGTCAGTTCCTCAGAAGATTAAACATAAAGTTACCATATGACCCAACAATTCTACTCATAGTTGTATATCCTAGAGAAATAAAAACATATTTCCATACAAAAACTGATACTCAGATGTTTATAGCAGTGTTATACAAAATAGTCAAAAAGTGAAAATAACCCAAACATCAATCATCTGATTAATGGTTGAACAAAATGCAGTATATATCCGTACAATGGAATATTATTCAGCAATAAAAAGAAATAATGTTCTGATACATGCTACAGCACAGATGAAACTTGGAAACATTTTGCTAAGTTAAAAAAGCCAATGACAAAAGGTCATGTATTGTTTGATTCCATTTACATGAAATATTTAGTATAGGTACCTATGGAGATAGAAAGTAGATTAAATGTTGTCCAGGGCTGGTGGGTGGTATAGTGGAGAAGAATTTGGCTGCTAACCAGGAGGTCAGTGGTTCAAACCTATCAGTGGCTTAGTGGAAGGAAGATGGGGCAATCTACTTCCATAAAGATTTGTAGCCTTGGAAACCCAGTGGGGTTTTCTATGAATTGGAAATGACTCGATAGTGATTTTTTTTTTTTTTGAGGGCCGGTGGGGGGTAGATGAGGTGGTGGAGGGAATTAGGGGTGATTGCTAAAGGGTACAGGGTTTCTTTTTGAGGTGATAAATATATTTTAAATTGCTTGTGGTGATAGTTGCTCTACCCTGTGAATATGCTAAAAAACCACTGGATTGTACATTTTACATGAGTGAATTGTACCTTGTGGTACAATTATATCTTAATAAAGCTGTTGAGAGAGAGAGAGAGAGAGAGAGAGAATGATCCTAGACATGTATTCTGAATGCATAGTACATGATTCAGTTTAAAGAGCAATCAAACATTCTCACACTTTACAAAAGCCTGAAAGAAACAAAGAAACAGAATTTCTATCATGTTCCAAGCACATATATGTGCCATGTATTTTATCTTCTTTTATGTAAAAGGAGAGAAAAACCAGGGAGACCAGAACTGAGTAAGAAAGCAGTAGCAGGGGTCCAGGTAAGGGGAGGGGCCCAGGCCCCACACCCCAGGTGGCAGGAAAGCAGGAGAAAGATGAGAAAAGCGAGGGGGACCAGGACAAAGTGCAGCAGTAGTGGCAGTGATCCAGGTAAGGGGAGGGACCCAGGCCCCACTCCTCAAGCAGCAGGAAAGTGGCAGGGATCCAGGTAAGGAGAAGGTGGAGAGGTATCAAACAGCTAAGGGAGACAAACTTCTCTATCAGTTTGTCCTGCTGCAGTGGCATGTTGCTGTGAAGGTGAGGCTAGGCTGTGCGACTGGTGTTTCAAATTCCAGCAGGGTTGCACATGGTGCACAGGTTTCAGTGTGGCTTGCAGACAGACAGACTAGGAAGAAGGAAGAGGCCATCCACTTCTCAAAGAATTGGCCAGGGAAAACCTTATGAATAGCAGAGAAACACTCTCTGATACATTACTGCGCAACTTTATGAATAGCCTGGAAACATCTGATACAGTGCAGGAGGACAAGCCACTTTGGGCAGAAGGCTCTCAAAATATGACTGGCAAAAAGCTGCCTCATCAGAGCAGAACCAACCTTACTGATATGGATAAAATAAAGCTTTCGAGACCTCCATTTGCTGATGTGGCATGACTCAAATTGAGGAGAAACAGCTACAAATATCCATTAATAATTGAACATGGAATGTATGCAGTAGGAATCTAGGCAAATTGGAAGTTGTCAAAAAGGAAATGAAATGCATAAGAATTGATATCTTAGGCATTAGTGAGCTGAAATGGACTGGCTTTGGCCATTTTGAATCAGACAACCCTATGATCTACTATGCCGAAAATGACAAATTGAAGATGAATGGCATGGCATTCATCATCACAAAGGATGTTTCAAGATCTGTCCTGAAGTACAATGCTGTCAGTGATAGGATAATATTCATTTGCCTACAAGGAAGACCAGCTAATACAACTATTATTCAAATTTATGCACCACCCACCAAAGCCAAAGATGAGTAAATTGAAGATTTTTATCAACTTCTGCAGTCTGAAATTGACAGAATGTGCAGTCAAGATGTGTTAATTATCACTGGTGACTGGAATGAAAAAGTTGGAAACAAAGATCACTGGTAGTAGGAAAATTTGGCCTTGGTGACAGAAATAATGCTGGAGATTGCATGATAGAATTTTGCAAGATCAATAACATTCATTGCAAATACCCTTTTTCAACAAAACAAACAGCAGCTATACTTGTGGAACTTTGACAGATGGAATACACAGGAATCAGACTGACTACATTTATAGCAAGAAGGGATGGAAAAGCTCAGTATCTCCAGCCAAAATCAGGCCAGGAGCTGATTGTGGGACAGACCATCAACTGCTTATATGACAGTTCAACTGGAGGTTAAAGACAATTAAAACAAGTCTATGAGAGCTAAAATATGATCTAGAATATATCTAGAGACCATTTAAAGAATAGATTTGATGCATTGAACACCAATGATTGAAAACCAGAAGTATTGTAGGATGACATCAAAAACATCATCCATGAAGAAAGCAAGACAAGAAAAGAAGACCAAATGGATGACAGAAGAGACTCTGAAACTTGCCTTTGACTGAGAGTAGCTAAAGCAAATGTAAGAAAAGACAAGATAAAAGAGTTGAGCAGAAGATTTCAAAGAGCAGCCCGAGAAGACAAAGCCAATTACTATGACAAAATATGCAAAGACTTGGAGTTACAAAATCAAAAGGCAAGAACATGCTCAGCATTTCTCAAGCTGAAAGAACTGAGGAAAAAATTTAAGCCTTGAGTTGCAATATTGAGATTCTTTGGGCAAAATATTGAATGATGCAGGAAACATCAAAAGAAGATGGAAGGAATACACAGAGTGCCTATACCAAAAAGAACTGGTCGATGTTCATCCATTTCAGGAGGTGGCATATGATCAAGAACCAGTGGTACTGAAGGAAGAAGTCGAAGTTGCACTGAAGGAATTGGTGAAGAACAAGGCTCCAGGAATTGATGGAATACCCACTGAGATGTTTCAACAAACGGATGCCCCATTGGAGGCACTCACTTGGTTATGCCAAGGGATTTGGAAGACAGCTGCCTGGCCAACTGACTGGAAGAGAGCTGTATTTGTACTCATTCCAAAGAAAGGTGATCTCAAAGAATGTGGGAATTATCAAACAATATCATTAATTTCGCATCAACTAAAATCTTACTGAAGATAATTCAAAAATGCTTGCAGCAGTATTGTTGTTGTTGTTGTTGTTATTTGCCGTTGAGTCGGCCCCGACTCATAGGGACCCCTCCTTGGGTTTCCGAGGCAGTATCACTACGGAAGTAGGATTGCCCAACCTTCCTTCTGAGGAGTGGCTGGTGGGTTTGAACCGCCAGCCTTCTGGTTAGCAGTCAAGTGCTTTAGGCACTATGCTACCAGAGCTCCCAGTATATTGACAGAGAAATTCCAGAGGTACAAGCTGGATTCAGAAGAGGACGTGGAACAAGGGATACCATTGCTGATGTCAGATGGATCTTGGCTCAAAGCAAAGAATACCAGAAAGATGTTTACTTATGTTTTATTGACTATGCAAAGGCATTTGATTGAGTGGATCATAACAAGTTGTGGATAACATTGAGAAGAATGGGGATTCTAGAACACTTAATTGTACTCATGAGGAACTTGTACTTTCACCAGGAGGCTGTCATTCAAACAGAACAAGGGGACACTGCATGGTTTAAAATCAAGAAGGGAGTGAGTCAGAGTTGTATCCTTTCACCATATTTATTCAATCTATATGCTGAGCAAATAATCCTAGAAGCTGGACTATATGAAGAAGAACGTGGCATCAAGATTGGAGGAAGGATCATTAACAACCCATGATATGCTGACGACACAACTTTGTTTGCTGAAATTGAGGATGACCTGAAGCACTTACTGATGAAGATTGAAGAATACAGTCTGCAGTATGGATTACATCTCAATATGAAGAAAAGAAAAATCCTCACAACTGGACCAATAAGCAGCATCACGATAAATGGAGAAAAGATTGAAGTTGTCAAAGACTTCACATTGCTTCGTTCTACGCCAATGGAAGCAGCAGTCAAGACAACAGATGACATATAGCACTGGGCAAGTTGGCTGCAAAGGACCTCTTTCAAGTGCTGAGGAGCAAAGATGTCTCCTTGAGGACTAAGGTGCACCTGACACAAGCCATGGTATTTTCAACAGCCTCATATGCATGTGAGAGCTGGACAATGAATAAGGAAGACCAAAGAAGAATTGATGCTTTTGAGTTGTGGTGCTGGCGAAGAATGCTGAAAGTACCATGGACTGCTAAAAGAACTAACAGGTGTGTCCTGCAGGAAGTGCAGCTGAAATGCTCCTTGGAAGCGAGAATGGCCAGACTTCACCTCACCTACTTTGGTCATGTTATCAGAAGGGACTATTCCCTGGAGAAGGATGTCATGCTTGGTAAGGTAGAGGGTTGACGAAAGAGGGGAAGGCCCTCAACAAGATGGATCGACACAGTCGATGGGCTAAAGTATAGGAAGGATCATGGAGCTGGCTTAGGACTGGGCAGTGTTTCATTCTGCTGTGCATGGGGTCGCTATGAGTCAGAGATGACTCGACAGCACCTAACAACAACAACATTATGTAATATTATGCTGAAGTTTACTGAGGTTAAATGACAATAGGTCACAAAACTATTGAAGAGCAGAGCTGGGAGAAGAACAGGTTGTTTTTCATTCTAAAGTTCAAATTTAATCTGATGCTTTGAACCAAAATCCAATCCCATTGCCATTGAGTCAACTCTGACTCATAGTATCTCTATAGTACTGGGTAGTAGCTGATGGGTTCAAACTGCTAACCTTTCAGCTAGCAGCCTGGTGTTTAACCACTGAGACACCAGGGCTCCTAATATATGACTATGTCACTGTTATTGTTACTTTTTCTCATTGTAAAAGAACAAATACTAGCAAGCATAATTTTATGGACAATTGTATATATTAATGAGACATTTAATTGATGAAAAATGACTGGTTATTATTATTATTATTATTTTTTTTCATGGTGGTGTGGAGGGGAAGGGATGGCTGCTGGGATGGGAGGGAAAGATTTACTGCAATTCCTTGTGATGATTAAAAAACTCCTCAAACCCCATAATATATTACATGAGGAGAGTGAGTAATACATTGAGTTAGATTTTAGAAATTAACCATAACCTGTTGCAGAGGGTGAAAAGCATTTTTCTTTTGGATCTCACTTTGAACTGATGGATATTGGCTATTTGAAGCAACTTTGCTGAGAAGGACTCTGGGCTGGGTTCAGGACAGGCAGTGAAGAGTGTTGGGAGTGGTTGGTGAAGTCAGTTGCTGTGTGGGACTGGAGGGGACAGCAGAAGAGTCCCACATTTGCTAATTTTTTTTTTTTTTGTAATTCAAAACATGCAAAAACATTATAGGGACATTACTGCAGTCATCAGAACAGGTTGGGAAGTTCTTCGTGATTTTGAAATTATCCAATCCTCCCAGTGCTCTTCTGTTGCATTGTGTTTGAGTTTTAAGCATCCACACTGAAGGTTTTAAGATTCTTACCTGAGCTTCGTCCACGTCCACATCAGCAAACATCACATTTTGGTATTGCAGAGACATTGCCTTCAAAACAAAAGAGTGAAAATTCCCTGTTAGCTTGGTGTTAATATTAACATGGTGCCTTTCGACAAAACAAAAAAGAAAAAAGAAAGAGGTCTGGTTTCTTAAATTTAAAATGGTTAAATTCGAATACAATCATTTTGAATATAAATTCATTTTAATGTCAAAAGTTGTGTGCTTTAAGAACTGTGGTTGGGATTAGAGTTGATTCAGATGGATTAAGAGCTCAAGTCAAAAAAGTTGACATGTTAGATGCTTTGATCAAAGATTTGATAGAACAATCCTGATTAAAAGGGGAAAAAATGTAGAACAGAAGTTCAAAATCTCGTGGAATCTGGACTTTGTGGAGCCATGAAGTTTGGATGAACCCCTGAAACTATTGCCCTGACATAATCTTCAAACCTTAAAACAAAAATATCCCCTGAAGTCTTCTTTAAACCAAACAACAGTTTAGCTTAACGAGTGAAAAATATGTCTTGAACACAGTGCTCCTTTAAAGAACTGTTTGTGTGGGATCAAATTCACAACAGCAACTAGAAAGGTTAGATAAGCTTAGGGACAGTGAGTTTATGTCAATGGAAGAGGCGCAGTTCTGAACAGGAGGTTAAGAATGGTTGCACAACTCAAAGAATGTAATCAATGAATTGTACATGCAGAATTTTTTGAATTGGACTATGTTCTGTTGTATATATTTATTTTTAACAATAATAACAAAAAATCATTATAAAAAAAGGAGAAGAAAAGTTGAAATATTAGAAACATCAGTGACAACAAACCAGAATATTTTCCATTAGGCTTCTTTAGATTTGAAGTCATAGATCTCACAAAATTGACCATAAGTGAGTGTAAAATAAGAAAAATTAAAAGAAAATGTTCTGAGATTTCTTTTGCAGTATATTGCACCAAAAGGAAACAAACAAAAGAAAACTTTTTATGAGGCTGTAGAAAAATTAGCTAAAACATTGTGTAGCCATTAAATTTATAATTTGGAGACAATAAAAAATGTAAACCATATGCATATTTAAAAGATCTGAATATAAGTATAGAACTTCAAGTACATAAAATATTTTAAACAGAAAAAAGGACAATAAAGGAATACATAAGACATATGATTGTTATGAGTTTGAAGGATTATTGTTAGGTGCCATTGAGTTGGTTCTGACTCTTAGTGACTATGTGCAACAAAACAGAACACTGCCCATTCCCTCACCATCCTCACAGTTGTTGCTATGTTTGAGTCCGTTCTTGCAGCCACTGTGTCAATCTATCTCATTGAGCGTCTTTTTTTTTTTTTTTTCACTGACCCTCTATTTTACCAAAGTTGATGTCCTTCTCCAGAGACTGGTCCCTCCTGATAACGTGTCCAAAGTACTTGAGACAAAGTCTCATCCTCCTTGCTTCTAAGGAATGTTCTGGTTGTACTTCTTCCAAGACAGATTTGTTCGTTCTTCTGGCAGTCCATTGTGTAGTCAATATTCTTCGCCAACACCATAATGACATCAGTTCTTCTTCAGTCTTCCTTATTCATTGTCCAGCTTTTGAATGCAAATGGGCAACTGGAAATTCCATGTCTTAGGTAAGATGCACCTTAGTCCCCAAGGTGTTATCCCTGATTTTTTTTTTTTTTTTTTGACACTTTAAAGAAGTCTTTTGCAGCAGATTTGCCAAAGGCAATATGTTGTTTGGATTCTTGACTGTTGCTTCCTTGAATGTTGATTGTG